TGGTAGATTGGTATTAATAAAGTCGGTGTTGTCATCCTTACCTATTTTTTACCTTTCTATTTTTAAGATGCCTTCTTCTATTTGTCAGAGGTTAAATTCATTGATATCGGATTTTTTATGGGGGAGTAGGGGCGACAAGAAGAGAATGCACTGGGTGCGCTGGGACTATGTATGCAAGCCGTTGAGTGGAGGAGGATTGGTAGTGGTGGATTTGAAGGTTACAAATCGAGCGTTATTGGGCAAGTGGGTTTGGAAGTTTGCCAATGACAAGAATTCGATGTGGAAGAAACTATTATGCAACAAACACAATGTGAGCTGTCAATCCATGGATATTAATAGAGCTTGCTTTTGTAAAGACTCTTGGATATGGAGGGGAATTGTAAATAACTATTTAAAGGAGGATGCCATTGGAGGTTGCCTTAGATCTCATGCTAAGCTTCAAAAAGGTAATGGTAAATCTATTTCTTTTTGGAGTGATACGTGGATAGGGGTTTTCCCTTTAAAACTTCGGTTTCCTAGAATAAATGCCCTTTCTTCAGATAAATTGGGTAAGGTAGCTGATTTTGGGAGTTTCGATTTGTCTGGATGGGTTTGGAATATCAAGACCAGGAGGAACCTTTGTGATAGGGAGGTTGAGCAGTTCGTTGAGTTGTTGGACACCATAAAAAATATTAAACTAATGGAGCCTTTGGAAGACCGTTTGTTGTGGGTTAGTTCGGGTGATGGGCAGTTTTCTGTTAAAGCATGCATGAATGCTCTGTCTGTTCCTCTTAAGGACTCAGTTCAGTGGGAAAAAGTCGTCTGGCAGGGTTTAGTTCCTCCTCGAGTGGAGACTTTCCTTTGGCAATTGTCACATCAAAAAGTAGTTGTGAGAGTGGAGTTGTTGAGAAGGGGGTTGATTTAGGGGAGAACATTCTCTGCCCGTTGTGTAATCAAGGGGTTGAATCTATTCAGCATCTATTTATTCATTGTCATGTATCCTGGGAACTATGGATGAAAATTATTGGGTATTGGGGTATTCGGCTTGCTCTGCCGCAAGACCCTCCTAATTTACTCAGTTCATGGGCCGAATTGAGGCCATATTCTGCTATATGGAAGTTTATTCCAGGGGCAATTTTTTGGTCCATTTGGAAGTTAAGGAATGAGATCATCTTCGACAAAGGAAAGTTGGACAGTAACTCTTTGTTTTTCACGGTTCGATTCAGAGTAGCTAAGTGGTTTGTAGCCAAGTATCCACTTTTTTCAACTCAGGTTGATTTCTTAATTGGGGACCCCTCTGTGGCTGACAACCTTTCAGACTCTAAGGTTTTGGACAGTAGTGTGGTCTGCTGGATTCCTCCTCCACTGGATTTCTTTAAGATGAATGTGGACGGGGCGGTGAGTAGTGTGGGGATGGTGGCAGGTATTGGGGGAATTCTAAGGGACTGGAATCGGGTTGTTTTGTCTTCATTTTCAGTAAATGCAGGTCCTAATACTCCTATCCTAGCAGAATTGAAGGCTATCAAGAAAGGCATTGACATCTTTGTTTCATCTGTATGGGCTTCGAAGGGTAGGCTCATTATTGAAAGTGATTCAAAGACAGCAGTGGATTGGATTAAAGATCAGAGTTCAGTCCCTATTTACTTGTCTAATTTTATGAAGGAGATTGCGTCTGCTGTTTCTGGAAATCAGTTCATTATCAGGTGGATTCCTAGGTGTTGTAATTATGAGGCGGACAAGCTAGCGAAGGAGGGGATTGGCTGATTGTACTGCTTTTAGTTGGTTTGTATGTTTTTGAGGGGAGGTCTTGCAGGAGTGTATCAAGCCTTATGTATTTTTATAGGAGTGTTTTTAAATTTTATGTAATTGTATTATCATTAATAAATTGATGTACTCTTTTCCTCCTTCCACTAGAGGGTCCTTGCCTTAGGGCAGTGGACTTCTTAGAGGGAGGTTTTTAATGAGGCATCCTATTCCTATCAAAAAAAAAAGATTACAGACCAATAAGTCTTGTTGGCAGCCTGTACAAAATTATCTCCAGAATCTTATCGAGGAGATTGGTTTCTGTTATTAAAGATTTGATCAGGCCATCGCAGTTCGCCTTTATTCCAAGTAGGCAGCTACTTGATTGTACTTTTATGGCCAATGAATCTATAGATTATTGGAGGAAAAAAGGAAATGAGTTGTTTTCAAAGTGGATTTTCGTAGATCCTATGACTCAGTGGAATGGCCAATTGTTTTGAGATTATTGAAGGTAATGGGTTTTGGGGACAAATGGATTTCTTGGATTGATTATTGTATCTCTTCTGCTTCAATATCGGTTCTAGTTAATGGATCTCCTACAGAAGAATTTCATATGGACAAAGGGTTGAGACAAGGTTGTAGTTTATCACCTCTTCTGTTTAATATTGTTGGTGAGCTCTTAAATTTATTGAGTAAGGCTGCTGCTCTTGGTCTTTTCGAAGGGTTCAGTATTGGTAAGGAAGAGAATCTTTTTAATTTGACATCTCCAGTTTGCAGATGATTTAATCTTATTCTGCAGAGACTCCTCAACACAAATCCTTAATATAAAGAGAGTTTTGAGGGTGTTTAGTTTAATTTCAGGGCTACACCTTAATCTGTCCAAGAGTAAACTGTTTGGTGTTAATATGGCAGAGGACAGTTTGAAAGAATTTGCACTGGAAGCAGGTTGTGGGGTGGGATCTTTTCCTATGACTTATCTAGGTCTACCGATAGGAGAAAAGAAAAATTCAGAGCTATTGTGGGAGCCAGTATTACAGAAAGTTTACATCAGATTAGCAGGTTGGAAAGCTGCCTCTTTATCGATGGTTGGATGATTGGTGTTGGTAAAATCGGTGTTGTCTTCATTACCTATTTTCTACCTCTCTATTTTCAAAATTTCGTTTAAGGTAAATCAGAAACTAAACTCAGTAATGGCAAGATTTCTTTGGGGAGAAGAATCAGACAAGAAAAGGGTTCATTGGGTGAATTGGAGTACGGTATGTCAACCATTGGAAGAAGGAGGCTTAGGAGTCTTGGACTTGAGTTTGGTTAATAGAGTTTTGCTTGGGAAATGGGTTTGGAAGTATGCAAATGAGAAAGACTCTCAATGGAAAAAATTGATTTGTTTTTTTTTTTGATAGGAATAAAAGGCCTCAAAAAACCCCCTTGGTGGTTAACGGAACTTAAAAATAGTTCCTTAATCCACATAAGGAGGAAAGGAGTGCCATAGGATTCAATAAATTCAAAAAATTGATTTGTTGTACGCATAATGTCAGTAAGTTATCTCTGTCTATAGGCAAGGCTGTTTCTCCTCAAGATTCTTGGGTATGGAGAGGTATTCTGAGTAACTACGAGAAAAAGGATGAGATAGGGAAGTGTTTGAGGTCCAATTCGAAGATCCAAGTGGGGATCGGTAGGTCAATTGAGTTTTGGAATGATATTTGGGTTAATGGATCTTCTTTAAAGATTCAATTCCCTAGGATTTTTGCTCTGTCGACTAACAAAAGGGGAAAAGTGGCTGAATTTGGTGGATTTGAAAATAATGGTTGGGTTTGGAACATTCAGCTAAGGAGAAATCTTTGTGACTGGGAATTGGAACAGTGGATTTCCTCAATGCTTTTGATTGAGAACATAGCCCTGAATGAATCTGTGGATGATTTTCTGGTGTGGTGGGGAAAGGGGATGGTTTGTTTTCGGTAAAATCTTGTAGAATAACTATTTCGAGCAGAACTGGAGGTTCTTTTGGAAGAGGCGGTTAGAGTGAAATTGAAGAAAGAGGGGTTAATCTAGAAGATGTTATGTGTCCTTTTTGTCACAAATATGAGGAAACAATTCAACATCTGTTTATTTCTTGCTCGGTTGCATAGGAGTTGTGGTATAGATTTCTAATTTGGGATATCTCTTCAGTTATGCCCCAAGATCCTTCTTCCCTACTTTGTTCTTGGTCTTATCTAAGGGAGTGCTCTACTATTTGGAAGTTTATTCCAGGTGTTGTTCTATGGTCTTTATGGAAAGCTAGGAATTCAGTGGTGTTTGAAAACTGGAATCTAGACACTTCATCTTTGCTCTTCATTTCCAGGTTTAGGTTGGCTAAATGGTTTTAGCGAAATTCCCTCAAGTTAATATTCAGGTTGACCTACTAGTAGGGATCCAACGCTTGCAGACAGATTACCTATTAAATCCTATAAAAAGAATAAGGTTCTTTATTGGTCTCTGCCTCCTAATGATTTCTTTAAGTTCAATATTGATGGAGCGGTAAGAGGTGATGGGCAGCAGGGTGGAATTAGAGGAGTCTTGAAAGATTCGAAATGTTCTACTTTAAAAACATTTTCTATTGTGGTGGGACCTGGTCCTCCTTTGTTAGCTGAGCTGAAAGCTATTAAACAAGGAATTGGTTATTCCTTTCTTCTAAATGGGCTTTAAAGGGAAGACTAATCCTAGAGAGTGACTGTAAAACAGCAGTTGATTGGATTTTGATGCCATTTTCTGTCCCTACATTTTTCTATACTTTGGTTGGGGAAATTGGGGCCTTAGTTTCTGCTAGGGGTATTATTGTTAGATGGATTCCTAGGAGATGCAATTGGGAGGAAGACAAGTTAGCTAAGGAGGGATAGGTTGAGGTTTAGAGCTTTATGGTTGTTTTGGTTTGTATTTTATTTCGGGCAGTTTATTATGTAAGCTGTAATCTTATGTAATTATGGTTTATTAATAAGATGAGGTACTCTTTTCCTCCTTCCGCTAGTTGCCTCTTTCACAAGAGTCAACTAAGAGGGAGGTTTTTAATGAGACCTCCTATTCCTATAAAAAAAAAAGACATACACCAACGAGTAAAAATGAAAAGTACAATTGTTTGTGTTTTTGTTGTTTAGGAACGAGACCCCACTTTATTTTAAAAAAACATGAAACCAGTTACAATTGAAAAGACAAAGGATCCTGTAGCAAACTTGAGAAACAAATCCACAATACAACAAATAAAGAATTTTCTTTTCAGGTTAGTAAAAGATGATAAAATTAAATACCTCGACAAATGAAGTGCCTCCAGGATCTCTCATATCACAGATCCAGAAGTACATATGATTGCCAGGGAGGCTGTCATCACTTATTCGCAAATTTCCTAATGCTGCGTTTATACTAAAGAGGATGGGAACACCTTTAAACAAAAGAAAAACTTTTGAACATTAAAACTGTGAACATTAAAAGGGGGGGAAGAGGTGCAGATGAGAAAGGGGGAGGAAATTAACAATGAAAACTAAGAGAAATTCAGCAAAGTGCAGAACAGGTAGGGCAGACCTTTATATCAGTAAGCAGATTTTCTTGCGACAAAGTAGCGAACTTAGTTTCATTTTCATTCATCAACAAAATCTGAGCATGAGCCATATTTAATGTTAAGTTGAAAATAATCTGGATTTTCCTTTTCCTAGCAGACCTTTGACCACAGGCTCCTCCACCCTGGTTGACTGTGGATTGTCAGTAGGATCTTCACTGGAAATATCATGTTTCACCAACTGCAGAAGAATTATCACTAATAGACTCGCAGCTATCATCCTCAATAGTAACAGCATTAGCAAATTCCATAATGGCAAGGATTGGTCTACGACAGAAAAATGACAAAGTAGCCAGAGTCACAGTGACCTGAAAACAGCATGTTATTACTCCAATGAAATATAGAAGACCAAGATAATGAGGCTGAGAAAGATTCAAACTGAGAGAAGAACCTACCTTCATGTCGACATTGTTGTACAGAGGAGAGTTCTGGTCATAAATAACAATTTGTGCTTTTACAAAACTGTTTAATGTATCAATTAGTTCAACATCCTCCCTTCCCAGAAGAAGTTCATCATCAGGGAGTAAACCAGTTACTCGACTAAAACTCTGAAATTTTTGCAAACTAACTAACTCAGATGATTTTCTAGGTGTGGATGTGCACTCAGCAGAATCAATCAAATCTTCAGGGGCTTCATAAAATTTTTCATCTCCTTCACTTGGGAACAACTCAATCCCACCATCGTCCAATACTGAATGTACATCTGCACTTCGTATAAAAGATCTTGCCAAGTAGCAAGGCTTCGACACAGTACTGCAGCAAATCAAATCTTCAATTTCCAAAGATTCAGAACAGTGCCAATAAAAATATCACTCCCTTTTATTGAAAGCTCAACCTGTTTTGAAAGAGGTAAAAAATTATAAGATCAAAAAGTATCAAAACAAATTGAAATATGAACTATCATAAACAAGATAATGCTAAACTACTTGACCACCTGTTGCTCGAAATTCAATAGTGGATGCTCTTCAGCAAGAAGCACCTTATTGAAGCTCCGCTCATGCTAGAAACGATGGACAGTAAATAAAATTTCCTAAGCAGTTCAAATTTAGTTTAATTTCATGACAAAACAGTCCAGGCTTACCTGATGATTATAACTAATACTGATCTTAAGCTCATCAAGAACACCAGTTATAAAAACACTTTCTATCATCGGCAAATCAAATGCATCATGCTTCTCATTGGGTTCTGTTTCCGAGTCTGATGAAGTTTCAGAGATAGTAAAAGGTGCAGAAGCCTGCAGAGAGATTATTATTTAGAGTAATTTCTTTCTTTGAATCAGAAAATATCATGTGAATCACATAAAATGCTTCCTGCTTAATTAAAACTTTCATGCCTTTTAAGATTATGCCCCTTGATTTTATAGAGCATTATCCTGAAAGAATGTGATGCAAGTGTGCTAATAGAAACTTTATCACTTCAACATTTCCATTTCATTACTAGTATGTAGGACTTCAAAATTCCAGCTATTTTTATGTGCAAATGGGAATTATTTGGTAGATTTATTTTGTACGAATCATTTTTCTCCTAATGGTAAGATTTTAGGATCCTACTCCAACTAATTGCCTTTTTATATCTCTATGTATTGCAAGACTTTGTGAAGTTCATATCTATTAAAGATTCAAGTTACCAAGAGACTAAATTTTCTATCATTTGGCTTTGTTATTCTATCTTTTCAGACAAGACCAGGAGCAAAAGACCTACTGATGAATGATATATAGCTCCTTGCAGGCGGCTTTGCCATGTTTTCCTTGAATCATCATTATCAAACTGTAATATTAGTGCATTCACATCTTCCACCACCTAGTAAGAAAATTACACAGATAAAGCAATATTCGGGGGGGTTTGAGCAAGAATCAAAATTTAATGTACAATCTCACTGAATTTCATAGAAGATAGTGTTTTAATAACTGAAATGCTCTTACAGCCTTGCTATTTGACAGTGTGGCATCACAAACAGCCAATACAGATTCCATTACCAGCCAACTCTGCCGGAACTAGATACGCCTGTTTCCTCTCAAGCTACAGAGCAAGTAAACAGGGCATAAACATAGAATAGAAATACAAATAAAAACCCACATGAAGCATGAAGTAAACTAGCTGATGCAACTCTGAACATGCAAGAAGTCCTTGAAAACTTTAGCATAAAAAAAATGCAACTTTTTTTGTGCTTCCAGCCAAGTTTGAAAATATCCATCCTCTTCAAATTCATAATCCTCCAAGATGATTACAAGAGGTGGTGTTTTAAATTTAAGGATTTTCACGACGAAACCGATGGAGAGAGAGAGAGAGAGAGTTTTCGAAATACAAGGGGGGAGATTCTTGGTCGGCTTTCGTTAATAATCTTAGTAGGAGAGTGTGTCGTAGTGCTTTATGGGATTGTTTTAGTCATTATGGAAAGTCATTAGGGGTTCATTCCATTTATTAACAACAGACCGAATTATAAGGTTAGTACGTTTGAGTTTGTCCATTTCGCAAGCAAGGCGGATCTATGCAATGCAGTGGAAAAGATGAACAATGTCACGATCGATGGAAGGAGGATTTCTGTGACAGTAGCGAATATGAGAAACTTCTGGGGCGAGGAAGCAGATTGAAGGAAGGGTTGAGGGTTCAAATAACAATGACAAAGGAGGGGCTAAGCATGGAAGGTTGTCTTCCAGCTGATGGGGTAAGGAAGATGGAAATGTTGAATAGGTTCCATGATGGGAGAACCTATAAAGATACGGTGGTTGGGGAGAGCAAAGATCCTGTGGGTGTTCAAGTGGGTAGACATCGAAAAAAGGAGATGGAAAATCCTATGGAAGTCTTTATTCCGATGGAGGAGGGCTTGGTTGAAATCATCACTTACGGGTATATGTAAAGCAATTTTGAAGTGGAGTTTTTGCAGAAAGCTTTAAGGAATGACGACATCAATGCAAAGGTAGTTAAGTGGGGATTTGCAAAAAAATGTTTGTTTGGTAATTTTCCAAACTGTGGAGGAGAGAAGGATGGTGATGGAAGAAAAATGGGAAGCTTTGTCCTTCTGGTTTGAAAGATTGGAACCTGTTCTGGATGAGGGAGGTATTCCCCTGCCTTATTGTGCGATCTCCATGGTTGGAGTTCCATTAAATTGGTTGGTTCCTTTCTTTACTAGTTTGGCATCCAGATGGGGAAAGCTAGTGAAGATTCAAGATGAAACTGCTCATAGAGTGGACTGCAGAGTGGCTCAGATGCTTCTCAGGGTGGCCAGTCCATTTGAAATTCTTGAACATATTATCATCAATTCGTTAGGGAGGCAGTTCTTGATTAAGATTAAGGTTGAATGTGCTGAAAATTATTTTCCTGAGTTATCAGATATGGTTGAAGATGCTATTTCAGAGGATCCATGGGAGGAGAGCTCCTCCGATTAGAGCAAAGGGGTTGTTCAGTTACAGCAGGATGAGCACGTGGGTACTCAGGAGGTGTCAGATTCCCAAAATAGGGTACAGGAATGGGTTCAAGGATCCCAGCAAGGCAAAAACACAGAAATCGAGGGGAGTTTGAATTTTTGCTCAAATTCAAATAAAGCTGTTTCGGTTGACTTGTGCAAGCGTGCGAATGTTGCACGAGCTGCCTCCTTACTGCAGGAAAATTCTAAAAGCACCAAGGAAGAGAGAGAAACTAGGAAGCACATGGGGGATGTTCCCCGTGAGTATGCTACTGTGAAATTTGATAATGGGCTTTGGGAAGGCCTGCCTAGACAAGTATTGATGAGCAGAATAAAGAGAATGGCAGGAAATATTGTGGGGGTCATATTCCCACAGTAGATTACATTGAAGAGCAGTCTCGGGCCTCTTTCAGTGTGGGTCTGTATTCGGTTCTTTGCAATTACTAATGGAAAGAGTGAGGTTGGAAGTAAAGTGAGAAGAGGCTCATGTAATCGGGTTTATTCGAGATCTAGGAGGGGGGAGCTAAGAGCTGTGTCGATGTAAGTTCAGATTTTATTTATTCCAGGGAGCCGTGCTGGAGGGGTGGAGGCTCTTGAGTGTGGAATGTAGCAAACTATTGGGGTTAAATTTAGGGGGGAAAACAAAACTTTTTGGAAAAAACAGGTTCTTTGGTTAGGGAGAGAGAAGGAAATGGGAGTAATTAAGGGGTTTGGGATTGAAGGTTATTCAGTAAGATAAGATGTCTAATTGGAAAATTTTGTCTTGGAATATTCGAGGTCTAGGTAGGAGGGTTAAAGCTAGAGCGGTAATGAGGTGTGTTGAAGAAAAGAAGCCATCAATAGTTTTTTATCCAAGAATCGAAATTGGAATCAGTGAGTCCTTCATTATTGAGAAAATTGGGAGGCAAATTTCTTCCTGGTTCGGCAGTATCTTCAGCTGAAGGTTTTGCTGGAGGCTTATTACTTTGTGGAATGAAAATGATTGTGTGTTCAGGAAGAGGTAATTCACAGCAGATTTTTGGCGTAAGAGGAATATTGAAGAGTCTAGACCTTGTTGGTTTTATTAATGTGTATGGCCCGAGTGTGGATTTTGAAAAAGAGCGTTTTTGGGAGTTGCTTTCATTCCTGAAAAATGCAGACTGCCCAGTGTGTCTTGGAGGGGATTTTAATGCTTTTCTGTCACTGGAAGAGAAAGCTGGTGGTGAAGTTAATTTGGTCTCAATGAATGTTTAGACATTTTGTGAACAGTGCTAATCTGGTTGATTTACCTTTGGCTGGAGGAAGATTTACATGGTGTAATAATAAGGAGTCCCACTTAGTGAGATTGGATCGATTTCTTCTGGATCAGAATTTTCTGTAACTTTTTCCATTGATTTCCCAAAGTCTTCTACAAGGTCCATTTCGGATCATAATTTGATTTTGCTGGAAAATAGGGGTTGGAATTGGGGTCCTAAACCTTTCAGTTGTTCAACTATGTCATGAAGGAAGAAGGATTGGTAATATGATGGAGGCCGAACTACTCAGTGGTGTAAAACAGACAAGAAAATTCCATTTTCCAGCGACCTAAAAGGGTACAGAAAGCTGTTAAGAGTTGTTCAAATAAGGGCTACTTAGAATTTCTTGGAAAAATTAGCAGTTTGGAAAAAGAAATTCAGAAGTGAGAGATTGATTTGCAAACAGACTTACCTGGGGTGTCTATGAAGCAATAGTAGAGGCAAAAAAAACAATTGTGGGACCTTTATAAATTTGAAGAGTCTACCTGGTTTCAAAAATCGAGAGTGAAGTGGAGTTGGAAGGGGATAAGATAATAAGGTTTTTCCATCAATGTGCAGGAGGCAGAGGTAGGAGGAATGGTATTAAGTCCCTCAAATTGGGGAATGAAATCATCTCAGATCCTAGTAGGAAAAGCATCAGTGGTGGATTTCTATAAGGATCTATTCACGCAAAAAAAATACTCTGGAGGCCGAAGAGTTGGAATTGGATTTTCTAAATCTTTCGACTGATCATAGTTTGGCTCTTGAAAAGCCATTTTCTGAAGAGGAAATTTGGGAATGTAATTGCCAATTTGGACATCAACAAATCGCCTGGACCTGATGGGTTAAACTTAGGGTTTTTTAAGAAATTCTGGACTATTTTGAAAAGTAACGCTGCTGTTTTTAAGGATTTTATGAGGGGAAGGAATGGGATGAGGGTTAATCACTTACATTTCCTTAATCCTAAAAAGGTGAATCCGGAGGCATTAGAAGATTTTAGGCCTATTAGCCTTGTTGGGGGTTTTATATGATCCTATCTAAGGTTCTAGCAAGGAGGTTAAGCCTATGCATTAACGAAGTTATAAGTCCCTCCCAATTTCTTTTATCCCGGGGACACACATTATGGACGCTCTTTTATTGCAAATGAAGTATTGACTACTGGAGGAAGAAAGGATTGAAGGGAGTCGTTTCAGGTGGATTTTAAGAGAGCTTATGATT